GGCGCAGTCTGCGCCCAGCGATGGGGCAGCCGCGAGAGGCAAGCCGGGCCTCGCGGGCCCCCATCCGGCTGCACCTGCCCTGGCCGGCCAGAGAGCGCCATGCCCTGGTGGAGTAACCTTTGCCGTGAGTAGCGTGCGCCCCGCAGCGGCTGTTCGCTTGGCCCCAGCCACTGCATCCACGGAACCTGGGGAAGGGGGAGAGCACGGACTTTAGGTCCGCTCAGACACCTATGTGTGGGTTTTCCATCCTTCTTCCTCGCCATCCCTTTTCTGTTTGAGAGAACTCACAGCGGCAGGGTGAGGAAAGCCTGGAGGCCAGCCTGGCAGGGGTGGGAGGCTTAGGAATGGGGGTGGTTACGGTAGCAGATTGGTACTGCCCACCCAGTGATTCTAGGGTTCTTGGGCTGCAGTACAAGATGGGACTCTACCAGAATGTGTTGTGGTGCAGCAGCCAGGCCGGAGCTGAGTCCAAACCAGGAGCTTCTTCCGGGTCTCCCAGATGGATACAAGGTCCCAAGGTTTTGGACCATCCTTAACTGCTTTCCCAGGCCACAAGCAGGGAGCTGGATGGGAAATGGAGCAGCGAGGACACGAACCGGTTCCCATATGGGATCCCAGCCTGTAGAAGGCAAGAATTCAGCCATTGAGCTGTCATGCCTGCCTTTCAAATAAATGAAGTAAATCTTTTAAAAGGAAAGGGGGAGGAATGATGGCACCCAGTCTTCCACTTGAATTGGGCTGTTGGGCAACCATGTAAACGCTTGTGATGAGAGCAGACTATTGCGAGGGTTGCAAGGAAGGTGGGCTTTGCCATTCGAACCCAACATAAACAGCCTCGGCTGCCAGGATAGGCTGTGGAGGAGGCTTTTCTGAAAGCCCGAGCTGTGAGGTGCATGACAGGTGCGCGGTGATGCAACAGAGGTGGGGTCAGGGGTTATGGTCTGCCTGTGAAGTCTGCAGGGCTGGCTCAGAGCCTGTGTCTACCCTGCACTGGGAGAGCTCCACACTGAAGATGGGTCTGACAGTAATACTTTGATCTAAAGAAATAACAGACCATTTGACCAGTTAGGATTTTAAAAATTATGGTGTATCTTTTTAAATGTGCTTGGTTTGTGTCACTTAACTCTGTAGAGAGAACATCTGAATATTGCTAAGCTATACTGATTAAGTTCAAAGAAAAAAAAAATCATCTTTGGTCCCATAGGTTTGACTCCAAATGCTTCAGTTCTCCTAGAATGAAAATGAAAACAGTGTTTATGTGGAAACAGAGACGTGGGAGGTGGGGGAAGAGTGGGGGGAGGATGCTGTGTAAAAAGCCTGCTTTCCCCCACACTGTTGGCAGTGTGTATTTTTAATACCAGCTTGATGGCAGGATACTGGATTGCATTCATCCCTTGTAGATACCATGCTGGAAGAGAGCCTGTTTTAAGAGTTGAACATTTCTACACAGTATATTTCCAGCAAGGATGCCCCATCTTTCTGTCTTTTTTTTAAAGATTATTTTTATTTGAAAGGCAGATTCTTTTTTTTCAAGAGAGGTCTTCCATCCGCTGTTTCACTCCCCAAATGCCCCAAATGGCGAAACCTGGGCTGATCCGAAGCCAGGAGCTTCTTCCAGTGCTCTCACATCGGTGCAAGGGGTCCAAGAACTTGGGCCATCTTCCCAGGCCACTAGAAGGGAGTTGGACTGGAAGTGGAGCAGCTGGGACTACAATTGGTACAGCTTGGTCTGCCAGTACTATCGGCTGAGAATTAGCCTGCTAAGAAACTGTACCAACCACAGCACCCATGTTTAAAAACATCATCCTGGGGCCCGGCGCAAGTGGCGCAAGTGGATAAGTCCTCGCCTTGCACGCCCAGGATCCCATATGGGCGCCGGTTCTAATCCCGGCAGCCCTGCTTCCCTTCCAGCTCCCTGCCTGTGGCCTGGGAAAGCAGCAGAGGACGGCCCAAAGCTTTGGGACCCTGCACCCGCGTGGGAGACCCGGAAGAGGCTCCTGGCTTCGGATCAGCATAGTATCGGCCCGTTGCGGCTCACTTGGGGAGTGAATCATCGGACGGAAGATCTTCCTCTCTGTCTCTCCTCTCTGTATATCCGCCTTTCCAATAAAAAATAATAAAAATAAATCTTAAAAAAAAAAAAAACATCATCCTGGGAAGAACCCAGATGGCAGAACAGGGGTAAGGGCACATTTAAACAGATGGGAAAACATTAGCCAGTGTGAAGCAGAGAGGGTACATTCCAGGAAATAGGAGAGGATTAGCGTGACAGCAGAGGGGCACCTGGACACTGACAGACACAGGAAAGCAGCGACGACACCAGGGTGTGGTGTTGAATGACTGACACCCCAGCAGCACCCAGCGAGTAGAGATCTGAACTGCACCAGCAGCCCTATGGAGTTGTATCATAAAATGATAATATAATAATAATAAATAAAATAAAAACATCATGCTGTGCCCACGCAGTAGCCTAATGGCTAAAGTCCTCATCTTGCACACCAGGGATCCCATATGGACGCTGGTTCATGTCCTGGTGGACCCACTTCCCATCTAGCTCTCTGCCTGTGGCCTGGGAAAGCAGTCGAGGATGGCTCAAAGCTTTGGGACCTTGCACCCACGTGGGAGACCTGGAGAAGGTCCTGGCTCCTGGCTTCGAATTGGCTCAACTCTGGCCGTTGTGGCCACTTGGGGAGTGAACCAGCAGATGAAAGATCTTCCTCTCTGTCTCTCCTCCTTTTTGTACATCTGACTTTCCAATTAAAAAAAAAGTCTGCAGAAAGATTTTATATTTTTTTTTATAATTGGGAATTTTAATAGTACATAGAAATTTTAAAGAAATCCTCATATTTACCTCTACCCCAGAAATCCTTACATATATGTTTGTCACAGTGCTGGCCTAAATATGAACAAATGGAAAACTGAAGCATTCTCACTTCAGGAGATGGTACATACTTTCAGACTGATGCTGGAGCAGGTGTTATGGCAGGAAAATCCACTGCATGGGATGGCCACAATCCACATTGGAAAGCTGATGCAAATCCTGGCTCCTCCACTTCTCACCCAGCTTCCTGCTAATGTGTCTACTGGGCAGGCAGCTAAGGATGGCTTGAATACACGAGTCTGAGTCCTTGAGACTCATATGGGACACAGTTTCTGACTTCATCCTGGACCAGCCCTGGCTGCTCCACTTCGTATGCAGTTCCCTGCTTACGGTCTGGGAAAGCTGTGCAGGATGGTCCGAAGCCTTGGGCTCCTGCCATCCATGTGGGAGACCTGGAGGAAGCTCCTGTCTCCTGGCTTAGGATCAGCCCAGCCCAGCCATTGTGGCCACTTGAGGAATGAACTCGAGAAGGGAAGATCTCTCTTTCTTCCCTCATCCCCTATAAACTCTACCTTTCAAATAAAACAAATCTTTGAAAATAAATGGCTGCGGACCCGGTGTGATAGTGTAGTGGTTAAAGTCCTCGCCTTGCACACACCGGGATCCCATATGGATACCAGTTCTAATCCCGGCAGCCCCTCTTCCCATCCAGCTCCCTGCTTGTGACCTAGGAAAGCAGTTGAGTATGGCCCAAAGATTTGGGACCCTGCACCCATGTGGGAGACCGGGAAGAAGTTCCTGGCTCCTAACTTTGGATTGACTCAGCTCCAGCCGTTGCGGATGCTTGGGGAGTAAATCATCGGATGGAAGATCTCCCTTTCTATCTCTTCTCCTCTCTATATATCTGACTTTCCAATAAAAATAAATAAATCTTAAAAAAAAAATGGCTGCACAAAACTTACCTTCTCACCAGCGGTGTGTAAGACTTGCCCTTCTCCAATCCTCACCAGCATTTGTTGCTCTGTCTTTTGGATAATAACTGTTCTGACAGGTGAGGTGGGTTTGCTTTTACAGACAGAAGGAGAGACAGATACAGAAAGATCCTCCACCCACTGATTCATTCCCCAAGTGGCTGCAATGCCTGGAGCTGAGCCAATCCGAAGCTAGGAGCCAGGAACTTCTTCCAGGTCTCCCCGGTGGGTGTAGGTTCCCGAGGCTTTGGGCTGTCCTGCACACCCTTCCCAGACCGTAAACAGGGTGCTGGATGGGGAATGGAGCAGCTGAGACGGGAACTAGTGCCTATGTGAGATTCTGGTGCTTGGCGGTGGAGGGTTAGAGAGTTGAGCCATCGCACCAGCCCTGAAGCGGTTTTGCTTTTCATTTCCCTCAAGGAAATGGTAAGCACCTCCTGTGTGGCACCACAAAATGTTCCTCACGCTTTGTCCAAGGTGCTCTGACATTAGATTTGCGTTAGTATTTAGCTTAAACCTCTAACAGTACTTCCCATATCCCAAATTTCATAGAGTCTGCGTGGAAATTTGAGGTGTGGCGTGTGATTCCATTTTACCTTTTATTTTTTTTAAAGATCTATTTATTTTTATTTTACCTTACAACAGAAGGTAGGCTGTCTGCTGGACCATGCTTAGTGAAGCCTGCCTACTTAGGTGTAACTAATTGTGAACTTGTATTTGAAAGGCAGAGAGAAACAGGGATCTTTCCTGTGCAGGTGACACCCAGGGCCAGGCCAGTTAGAAGCTGGCATCCTAAACTCTCTACAGCTCTCTCATTTGAATAACAGGGAGCTTGGTTGCCCAGGGGCTCTCACTGTTGCTTCCCAGGTACACACAAGCTGATATTGGAATCGGAATTTGAGCTAGGATGCAAACTCGGGCATTCTGATATGGAATACAGGTGGTGTGTGTGTGTGTGCACGCGCGCCAGGCACACCTCATGTTTTGCTGGTTCAGTTTGTGTGCGTTCTCTTTGACAGGGATCAGAGCCGTCAGAGCAGTGCCTTTGAACCCGAAAGGTGCAGATACCACTAATCTATTGATCCGCAAACATCTGTAGGACCCTTCCCTGATATTAGCTGCAGTCTTAATTGGCCATGTTTTAAAACATTCCATTTTCTTGAGTTGTAATCTTTTCCCCCCCGCTTCTCTCACCCTCTCATTAACAGTTGGACAGCGAGAGTCTGAAAATGTGAGCGAGAAAGACTCAGCTAAAGACATGGCTGCCGTCTCTGAGGCTGTGGAGGAAGTCAGCAGGCAGGGGCAGGAGGGCGTGCCGGAAGTCATCCCACACGTCGCTTCTTCAGAGAGCAACTTAGAAGAGCTGGCACCACCTACCGAGGCCCAAAGTAACGACGTGGGATTTAAGAAGGTGTTCAAGTTTGTCGGCTTCAAATTCACCGTCAAGAAGGATAAGACCGACAAGACTGACGCCGTCCAGCTGCTCACTGTCAAGAAAGAAGAAGGCGACGGAACCGGAGGCTCCATCGGGGCAGGTGACCACCAGGAGCCCAGCTGCGAGTCTGGGGAGGCGACATGCAAAGAGGGTGAACTCCAGCAGCCCACGGAGAAGCCGGAAGACAGCCAGGTGCCGGAGCAGAGCGACGCGGCGCAGCCTCCTCCCGAGGCCGGCCAGGCAGCCGAGGAGGACAAAGAGCAAGGAGAGGAAAAGCAAGAGAAGGACGCCAGCAAGTCCCCGGAGTCCCCCACCAGCCCCGTGGCCGGTGAAACCGCGTCGCCCTTCAGAAAGTTCTTCACCCAAGGCTGGGCCGGCTGGCGCAAGAAGACCAGCTTCCGGAAGCCCAAGGAGGATGAGGCGGATGCTGCCGAGAAGAGAAAGGAGCAAGAGGCGGAGAGAAGCGAGGCCGAGGGGAGCGGCCTGCCTCCTGGAGGCCCAGACGAGAGGCCCGCGGCCTCGGAGCCCGCCCCGGCCGGCAGCGCGGCGGAGGCCCGGCTCTCGGCCGACTACGAGAAGGTGGAGCTGCCCTTGGACGAGCAGGTCGATGGGGCCGCGGCAGAGCGGGCCGCCCCGCTGGCCACAGAAGTGTTCGACGACAAGGAGGAAGGCCCGCAGGAAGTCGTGGCCGAGGTTCACGTCGGGTCCGCGGCGGCCCAGCAGAGCGGGCAGCCTGAGCCCCCCGAGGCCGCAGAGCCCGCCCCGGCTCCAGATGCGGGGTCTCAGCCGGCTGAGCCCGCCCAGGAGCCGGCCACGGGCACCGACGTGTGCCCTCCTGACGGAGACCAGCCGCCGCCACCACCAGAACCGAGTCCTGAGGACAAAGCGCCCTCAAAGCCATCCGAAGGCATCCTCAGCGAGGCGGACGTGCTGGCCTCGCAGGAGAAGGCCAAGGCTCAAGGAAGCCCCTTGAAGAAGCTCTTCAGCAGCACTGGCTTAAAGAAGCTCTCTGGAAAGAAGCAGAAAGGCAAGCGGGGAGGTGACGAGGAGGCCGGCGACCAGGGTCAGGCTCCGGCCGACTCCCCCGACAGCGCCGACGAGCAGCGCGGGGAGAGCTCGGCTTCCTCGCCCGACGAGCCCGAGGAGGTCATCCGCGTGGAGAAAGGCCCAGCAGAAGGGCACCAGGAGGGGGACGCGGAAGAAGGAGCCGCTTCCGACGGCGAGAAGAAGAGAGAAGGGGTCACCCCGTGGGCCTCGTTCAAAAAGATGGTGACGCCCAAGAAACGCGTCCGGAGGCTCTCCGAGAGCGACAAAGAAGACGAGCTAGACAAGGTCAAAAGCGCCACCTTGTCCTCCACGGAAAGCGCGGCCTCCGAGCTGCAAGAAGAAGTCAGAGGAAGCGCAGAAGAGCCGAAAGTGGAAGAGCCGAAGCGCAAGGTGGACACCTCGGTGTCTTGGGAGGCGTTGATTTGCGTGGGATCATCCAAGAAAAGAGCCAGAAAGGCGTCATCTTCCGACGAGGAAGGGGTGCCCCGAACGACGGGCGGAGACGGCCAGAGGGCAGAAGAGGCGGGCAAAGAAGCAGGGTCAGAGGCCATCCCTGCCGGTTCGCAAGAACGTGACCAAGCGGCCGGAAGCTCCTCGCCGGAGCCAGCTGGGAGCCCGACCGAGGGCGAGGGCGTCTCCACCTGGGAGTCCTTCAAGAGGTTGGTCACTGCCAGGAAGAAATCAAAGTCAAAGCTAGAAGAGAAAAACGAGGACTCTGCTCTCGAGCACTCGGCTTCCGATGCTGAACCCGGGAAAGAAGAATCTTGGGTTTCCATTAAGAAACTTATTCCTGGACGCAGAAAGAAAAGGCCAGACGGAAAACATGAACAAGCCACTGCCGAAGATGCAGGGCCGGCAGATGCTACTGCGGAAGATGACCCTGACGTGCCAGCCGTGGTGCCCTTGGCCGAGTACGATGCTGTGGAGAGAGAGAAAATGGAAGCACAGACGAGCCTGGCAGAGCCCGAGCCCGAGCCTGCAGAGCCCGGGAAGAGCCTGGTGCACACAGTGGCCGTCACCAGCGTGGAAGAGCGGTCTCCTTCTTGGATCTCCACTTCGGTGACAGGGCCCCTCGAACCGGCCGAAGAGGAAGCCGCAGCACCCGCAGCAGAGGGGTTGGAGACAAAAGTCACCAAAGAAGAAGGCCCCGAGGCTCCCGAAGCTATGCCAGAGAGCCCAGCTGCCCATGACGACACTGTTGTTGGCACCAAGGAATTAACTCCTGGAGCCATGGAAACCACCGAGATGCCTGCTGCCGAGGAAGCCACCGAAGCATCCGGTGCTGAAGAGACCACCGAGATGGTGTCGGCAGTGTCCCAACTGACCGACTCTCCTGACACCACAGAGGAAGCCACCCCTGTTCAGGAGGTCGAAGGGGTGGCACTGGACGTTGAAGACCAACAGAGGCGGACTCACGCAGTCCTACAGGCAGCTGCAGAAAAAGTGAGAGAGGAATCAGGGCTGCTGGACACCAGTGCGCCTCAGGACACGGTGCTGACCTTGCAGAAAGTAGCATCCAAAATTCTAGAGAAGGTAGAGGAAGCAGAGGAGGATTCTGCAGAGGTGGAGTTGAAGACAGAGGTGCGTGCAGAGCCAGAAGGACACCCACAAGGAACTGAAGAGCTCACGGTGCAGACCAGCCCCGAGAGCTCTGAGGAAAGTCCTGGAGTCACAGAGAGTGTAGGATCCAGTGAGCCATTCAGCACTTGTCAAGCTGAAGCGATAGCTGAGGAAAAACTCCAGGAAATTGCAATGGAGCAGGCTGTTCCCCGTGACTCCCCCGAAACCTTTACAGACAGTGAGACCGACGGAAGCACCCCCGTGGCAGAACCAGAAGCTCCAGATGCCACAGGGCAGGTCCACGTCATGGAACTCCCCGAGCTCACACCTGGCACCCAGTCGGAGGTGGCAGAAGCAGAGGCGGAGCCTGTACAGAAAGAGAGACCTCCAACACCACCTGCGCTTGAGTCCCAGGAAGAAAATAAGGAAACAGCAGAAGTTGCCAAGCATTCAGAGGAAAAAATCTCAGTGGAAACTGTGCCCGTTCAGTCCTGGACTGAGGTAACACAAGATGTCGGCCAGTTTGCTGATGAAATCAAAGGCAAAGGAGGTGAGGTGCCTGCGGAGACAGACATAGCAGCCGGGCAGGAAGAGACCCCAGAAGTTGCCGTCCAAGAGGAAGTAGTCAAAGGAGCAGGATGTCCAAAAGATGATGAGAGTCACCTGTGGGCTCATGCCAGTACAGAGGAGAGGGAGGTGGAAGTTGAAGCAGAAAGTGAGAAAAGTGGAGGAGAGCGCACATCTGCAGGATGCAGCAAGCAGCTGGTTCAAGCAAGTGATGCCGCTGTCACTGACGAGGAGAAAGAAGTAAGCTCAGGGGAAAGCCCTGCTTGCCTGGAGCAAGAGGAGGCGGAGTGTGTTGAAGTTCAAGTTCAAAGCTCTGAGGCCTCTTTACAAACTCTTGTAGCTGCAGCAGTGGAGGAGAAGGTTGTAGAAGAAACCATCAAGATTTTAGAAACAGGGGAGACTTTGGTGTCTGCAGGTGCACATTTTGAACTAGAAGAGAAGTCCTCTGGACAAGATGACTTGATGGCTGAGCCAGGGGAAGGTGCCGTGTCCACTGCACCTGAGGTTCAGACAGGGTCTGTGACAGTGACAGCAGGTGCTGCTGCTGAAGTCGATGTAAGTTCTGAGCCAGAAGAAGACAAGAGCGCATCACAGAAGTGGACGTTGGAGGAAGCCGGGCAGCAGGTGACCTGTGAAGATGTCAGAGTGAGTGTACCACGAGAGGAAGAGACGAAGGCTGAAAACGAGATTTTGGAACTTGAGACTGAGAGCAGTAAACTTGTCCAGAACATCATTCAGACAGCTGTGGACCAGTTCATACACACTGAAGACACGGCCGCTGAAACGTCGGCAGCTGACCTACAGGCACAGGTGCACCTGATGACAGCTATTAGCCAGGCAACTGGACAGAAACCAGAGAAGGAAGACCACGACAGTCAGGTGTGCACACAGGAAGAGGCACTTGTTCTTGAAGCCACAAAGGAGACAGAGCTCACCTTGGGAGGACAGGTGCCCGAGGAACCCTCCAGAGAAAGCAATGAAGTCTCAGAGACCACCCTGGCTGGTGAGGTAGAAAATTCCAGTGTCAGTGGCCAGCAGCCTGAAGAGGTGATTCCCGCATCCAAGGAGGAGGAGGAGGGTAGCATCCTTGCACCATCTGTGCCAGGAGACGATGGCTGTGCTGTGTTAACAGAAAGAACAGAGGAGTCACGACTCGAACCCAAACAAGTTGAGAAAAGTGATGCTGTTGAAGATCCAGAGAACCAGATCTCAGTCCTGGCACATGAAGATGCCACAGGAGACTTAACCAAAGAGTCCCTAGATACAAATGGACCAAAACTAAAAGAGACCCAAGATGCCCCGCACGTAGAAGATCCGGAAGGAAGAGCGTACAGCGACTCAGACCAGGAGATCAAGACCCAGAGGCAGGAGACGCAGAAACCAGAGAGCAAGCCTGAACCTGCAGAATCCCAGGACGCCGTGTGAGTATGCTTCCTTTGCTCCTGAAACCATCAGTTCGGTAATGACTTAAGAGTCGTTAGATCACATATTTGTTATTGAGGAATTGGGAGTTCAAAAAGTGATCTTACATAGAGTCTTCGGTTGGGGAATAACTAGAGTCAGAGATCTAGGATTTTTTTTTTCTTTTTTACTCATTGAAATTTCATTAGAATTATTGATGCTATGAAAATGAGGATGTCACTTTAGCTTCACATGACTGCTTTCCAAAAAAATAAAGGGGCACATTGAGAGCAGGGGAGGGAAACTCACTTAGCTCCTTATCAACTTCTTTGTTGAGTTACACTGTTGTTTTCAAAAGTAATTAGGGGGGCTGGCACAGTAGGCTAGAGGCTAAAGTCCCTGCCTTGTACACACTGAGATTCCAAAGAGACAGCAGTCCTAATCCCAGCAGCCCTGCTTCTTATCCAGCTCCATTTATGGCCTGGGAAAGCAGTCAAGGATGACCCAGAGCCTTGGGACCCTGCGCCCACGTGGGAGAGACCCAGAAAAGCTCATGCTCCTTACTTCGGGAGTGAATCAACGAACGGAAGATCTCCTCCCTGTCTCCTCTCCTTAGATCTGACTTTCCAATAAAAATAAATGTTCAGCTTTCTGGAGGGAAAAAAATTGAATTTTATCATCAGAATTATAAACAAGTATATATTTTTTTAATTTTCCAGTGCGTATTGGTGAGCCTATGTGTTGCTACAGGTACTAGTTCTTTGATAGCATTGCATAAAATAATATGGACTTTTGTCACGTTCCTTCTTTTAAAGGTTAAGTCACGGGGCTGGTGTTGTGGCACAATGAAATAAAGCCACCCCCAGCAGCACCAGTATCCCAGATGGGCACCCGCTGGAGTCCAGGCCATTCCTGGGAGACAGTGGAAGATGGCCCAGTGCTTGGACTCCTGCCCTGAGTAGGAGATCTAAATGAAGCTCTTGGCACTGCCCTGGCTGTTTGAGCATTTATAGAATGAACCAGCAGATAACAGATTCTCCCCCTCTGTACAAATGAATGAATAATTCAAAATAATTAAGTCACACAGTTTGATTTTGGTTTTTAACATGTTTTTGTGATTGCTGAAATTTAAAAAAAATTTTTTTTTTTTAATTTGAAAGGCAGATTCTTACAGTGAGAAAAAGAGAAAAATCTTCCATCCACTGCTTCACTCCCCAAATGGTCACAACAGCTGGAGCTGAACAGATCTGGAGCTAGGAGCTTCTTTCCAGGTCTCCCACATGAGTTCAAGGACACAAATGCTAGGACCACCCCCCACCACTTTCTCAGGCCCTCAGCAGGAAGCTGGATCAGAACTGAAGCAGCCAGGACTCAAACTGGTACCCGTTTGGTACAGGTTAAGGTTTAGCCTGTTATGCCACCGTACTGCTCCCATTTATGTTTTATTTGAAATGCAGTGAGAGGTCCCAGTGCAGAGGCCTAGCGGCTAAAGTCCTCGCTTTGACAATGCCGTGATCCCATATGGGTGCCGGTTCTAATCCCGGCAGCCCCACTTCCCATACAGCTCCCTGCTTGTGGCCTGGGAAAGCAGTCGATGGCCCAAAGCCTTGGGACCCTGCGCCCATGTGGGAGACCCGGAAGAACTCCCAGAAGAGCTCCTGGCTCCTGGTTACGGATTGGCTCAGCTCCAGCTATTGTGGTTACTTGGGAAGTGAATCATCAGATGGAAGATCGTTCTTTCTGTCTTTCCTCCTCTCTCTGTATGTCTGACTTGCAAGTTAAAAAAAAAAAAAAGGCAGCAAGAGAGAGACCTCCCACCTGCTGTTTTCTTTCCTCAAATGCCAGCTTTAGCCAGATCTAAGCCAACCTAAATCGTCATGCTGGGCCTCCTGCCAGGTCGCCCACTTGGACAGCAGGGACGCAAGCACTTGAGCCATCTTCTGGTGCCATATTCTGGTGCCGTTCAATGGGAAGCTGGAATTGGAAGTAGAGTTGGAACCTGAACCCCAAGTTCTTTGAATTGGGGTGCAGGTATGCTAACACTGGTATCTTAAGTGCTGCGCCAACGCCTGACCCAGCTTGCTTGCTGTTTTCATTGCAGTTCTTGGTTGATACGGTTCACTTTCCCAGCTACCTTTTGTTGTTGTTGTTAACAAATGAGGAAGGAAAGGAGCGTGATTTACTGTGGCTCTTTCTTCCACAGCTAAGCTCGTCATGCCCTCGCGAGAGCAGACTGTGAAGACTGCTGGGAGAAGAATGAACGGAGGAGTGCTGCCGCGGCTGCTGCTGAGACCCAAGCCCAGTGCTGGAGGACGGCGAGCCGGGAGTGCAGCCCAGCCCCGTGCTCGTACAGGGAGAGCCCCCCGACAATCCTGAGGCTTCATCAGGAGCTCCAGCCATTTAACACTTCCCCTTCTCAAGGCCCTCCTATTATTTTCCCTTGATACCATATAATGTTTCTGATTTAAGGTCCTCAATTCTTAACCTGGAACTGGAGTTGGCAATACCTAGTTCTGCTTCTCAAACTGGAGTATCTTCCTTCGTGTGCGTGTGTGTCCCATGTAACCCTCCTTCTGTATCTAGTGTTTTTTTCCTACTGTTTAAGCAAGCGTGCAGGACAGTACAAGCCCTCTCTACCATCCAGTAGATAACAGGGCAGGCAGCCTTAGTGACCTTGGGAAGGTTCAAGCCTCAATCCTAATCCCTAAAAAACCAAGCTTCCTACACATAACATTCCTGATCAGCAGGCAACACAATTCTTATTTTTAAATCTACTATAGATCTATGCTTTCCTATTAGGCACAGTGGGCTAAAAATAAAAAAGCATTTTGCAACATACTGAATGTCCCATTGTTACTGTGAAATTTTTCTTCCTAACCCAGCAGTTTGGGAAGCAGTGCTGTTCAGCGGTGGATTAAACTTTGTCTTTTCTCTGAATTGTAATGGTGGTTTGTATAGATGAGTGAGCTGAATTCTGAGGCAGAGTTGGAAAATGTTTTTCGTGTTGTGAAGAACTGATAGGTTATAAGAATTGGTTTTAGAACATGCCGGGCCACATACACAGAGGGGAACAAGTCTTTATAAATGATATTTTGATAGATACTGGGTTGTGTCTGTGCCATGATTGTACCCTTCTTTAAGAACACTGTTATGTTATTATGTTCATTTGGATAAATTGTCATTTGACAACTGGTTTCAATAAAATATTTGCTTCACTTAGATTTTCTGGTTTTATTAGCTATTAGGAAGCCTGGGCGGAGTATGTTTTAGAACGGTAAGAAGCCCACAGCCATGAGATGGCAATGACAGTGATCAGATAATAACCAGATAACCCATAACTAACTTGTAGTCAACCACAGCACTTAACTTTTCACTGTTCTGAGGCTGTTAAAGCACACACGGATGTACTCAATTAAACCAGTAGTAACTTCTCAGACCAACATAGCCAGTACAATTCTACCATCTAGTAATTCTTAGAAGATTAGACAATTGTCACACAGTGCAAGGGGAAATCTGTTGCCTCTCTACTCACAGGTTTCATTTTGTCACAAGTACAACTGGCCTAGCCAACGTGCTTGAATTGTACTCAGATTTAGGAATCTGGGTTGAAAAACTTTTGTCCACCAGTTGGTCATCTGTAAAGCATGACCTTCTAGAAAGCTTATTTTTGGCAGGAAGAACATATGCTTCAGTTGTGGGTGATTTCACTGAGGTGAGTAAATGTGCCCTACATGAATAGTTGGTTCTATGAGTAAGTCATTGCACAATATTTGTCCATGGGCTGCTAGTCAGCATTCAATGCTCTTCTAGAAGTCATTCTGACATGTATCAGCCATCTATACTTCATAGCATTAAAATACCCAGATTTTTAAAATCTGATGTAATGTTTGTTTTTGGCCAACTGAGCCTCAAACAAATGCTAATGTCAGTTTTTAAAGATTAACTGAAAAATATTGGAGGTGATGTAAGTATCGTAAGGGCTTCACGTGGACTAGCTTCATCTCTGGCAGCAGTTGAGACATTTAAGATTTGTGGAGTTACGAGGCCGGGTGGTTGTGGGCACTGCAGCACCTTTGCCGTGGTGTATCGGTATGTGGATGTGATCTGGGTAGCCTCTGCACAAGCTCTCCCTCTGGGCTCAGTGTTTCTTTAGTCTATGCAACTCCAGCAGCAGCATGCCCTAGAGTTCTGTTGTATACTTCTAAAGCTGTTCATTGAAGCCTCAAGTGTCAACTGCAGCTGTTGAAGCAAGTGCCTCAATTTTGCTATTTTGAGCATCACTTGTGGAACCATGTGTCACCAAAGGCAATGCTAGACTTGTAAACTCTTCCATTTTTTGTAATCGAGGAATACGCAATGTTCCCCCACAGGTGACTCCATTTATGGTTCCCATGCGTTGCCTCCCTCTGTATGTAAATATATTGTTCAGATATTTCCCTTTGATGTTTGGAACTAGAAATAGTCAAGCGCTTAGAATTTTAGTTTTTGGTATACACTTCAAGCTAAACAGTTACCTCTACTATGATACAGTTTTTGATTCCTAATTCTGTATGGGGACACATTTTAATTTCTCTAAATAAAATGCAATTTAGTTAAATGTTATGGATCTTCCTTCTGTAATTTCATTTTGATTCGGTCTTGATTGACATAACATTTTAACTTCTCAGCCAACCTTTGCCACACTGTGGAGTCCTGGGAGGTTCAAGGTTTCTTTCTTTCTTTTTAAGATTTGTTTATTTTTATTGCAAAGTCAGATATACAGAGAGAAGGAGAGACAAAGAGGAAGATCTTCTGTCCAATGATTCACTCCCCAAGTGGCCGCAATGGCTGGTGTGTTGATCAAAACCAGGATCCAGGAACTTCCTCCAGGTCTCCCACACCTGTGCAGGTGCCAAGGTATTGGGCTGTTCTCAACTGCTTTCCTAGACCACAAGCAGGGAGCTGGATGGGAAACGGGGCTGCTGGGATTAGAACCGGTGCCCATATGGGATCCCTGGTGCATTCAAGGTAAGGACTTTAGCCACTAGGCCACTGTGCTGAGCCCTCAAGGTTGGTTTTTTTTTTTCCTTATTCTTTTTAAAAGATTTATTTGTATTGGACAGGCAGACTTACAAAAAGAGAGATCTTCCATTTGCTGGTTCACTCACTGGAGCTGAGCCAATCTGAAGCCAGGAGTTTCTTTTAGGTCTCCCAATACTGATACAGGATTCCAAGGCTTTGGGCCATCTTCAAGTGCTTTCCCAGGTCACAAGCAGGGAGCTGGATGGGAAGTGGAGCCACTAGGACATGAACTGATGCCCATATGGGATCCCGGTGCATGCAAGGCAAGGATTCAGTCACTGAGCTATTGCTCCAGGTCCTCAGGGTTTCTATTTGAGACAAGTGGGGAATACACTGAAATCTCTATTAGTTATTCTGAACCTTCTGATTTCCATGTCCCTTTCATTAGAATGTTAAGTCTGTGGTTGACCTCTGAATCCCCAAAATTGCAATTTCATATACAGATTTTGGACAGTCACACGAACTCCCTCTGACATTCCAACTGATAATCAGAACCCAAATTAGAGAGCCTTTCTTCAGCCCTGCTAGAACAGGACACATCCAAGGATCCCTGGATGGGAGTCAGATTTTGGGACCTGAATACATCATGGAAATCCAAGTCCAAGACTCTTCTCCCTATTTTATTATCACATCTCTTACTGCGTCCAGCCTGTTCTTGGAATTAGCAAAATATTGTGTGCCTTCCTCTTCCAAATGTGAGAAAGCTACAATTTGTAAAGGTTCAGCTAAGCTATTCAGGACTGGAGGATGCTGTAGGGTGAATCTAACAAGGTCTTTTTGGTTTTTTGGATTTATTTTTAGGGCCTGGCGCTATAGTGTTGTGTCCAAGTCCTTGCCTTTGAATGCGCCGGGATCCCTTATGGGTGCCAGTTTTAATCCCGTTGGCCCCGCTTCCCATCCAGCTCCCTGCTTGTGGCCTGGGAAAGCAGACAAGGACAGCCCAACACCTTGGCACCCTGCACCCGCATGTGAGACTTGGAAGAAGCTCCAGATTCCTGGTTTCAGTTCAGCTCAGCTCTGGCTATTGTGGCCGTTTGGGAAGTGAACCATTGGACGGAAGATCTTCCTCTCTGTCTCTCTTTCTCTCTGTATATTTGACTTTCCAATAAAAATAGATCTTTAAAAAATGATTCATTTTTATCTGAAAGGCAGGTTTTACAGAGAGAAAGGAGAGACAGAGAAAGAATGTCTTCCATCCACTCTTTCCCCAGATGGCCGCAATGGCCAGAGCTGAGCTAATCAGGAACTTCGTCCAGGTCTACCACAGGTAGGACTTGGGCATCCTCCACTGCTTTCCCAGGCCGTAAGCAGAAAGTTGGATTAGAAGTGGAACAGCTGGGAAATGAACTGGGATGTGGGTGCCATGGGGCATTGGATTAGCTTACTGTGCCACTGTGCCAGCACCAGTTAATTTTTCTTTCCTCCAGAAAATAGTGTCACAACTTAGGAATGCACCCTCTTCACCCCTCTCTTGAATCCAAGACACAGACAGCTTACACCCACTGGTTCACTGCTCAAACTCTCTACAACAACCAGGACTGGGTAGGCTCTAGCTGGGAATGGGAACTCAGTTCAGTTCTCCCATATTGGTGATGGTGACCCACTTACTTGGGCCATCACCTGCTCCCTTCCAGGGTATGCATTAGCAGGAGCTGAACACAGAGCTAGAACTTAGATGGGATATGATGGATCAAACGCTGAACCCAATGTCCACTACTCTTTTCCACTCTGAACATCACATTTGTACTAATACATAAAGGAACTTATCCACTATCACACTACAACAGTCTACTAGAAAGTTTCATGGCTTCTCTAAGGTTCCACAGCTGTCTGCATAGTTTCCCATTGTGTGTTGGCATTACAAGATTTTTTCCCCCTTGAGGATTTAAGGGCAGAATCACACACACACACACACACACACACACACACACACACACACACGATCTGTCCACTGTTCAAATGGTTGCAATGCCAGGGCTAGCTCAGCCAAGCCAGGAGTCCAGAATACCACCCAGGTTTCCCACACAGGTGTGGTAGGGGCCCAAGCATGTAGGCCATCTTCTACTGCTTACCAGGTGCATCAGTAGGCAGGTCAGAAGGAGAGCAGCTGGGACTTGAATCAGCACTTACATGGAAAGGTGACATCAGGTGGCTGCCTACCTGCTGTATCACAGAAAACCAGCCGTGACATTTGAGAATTTAGTAGGGAAGGAGTAGTTCTATGCATAGCCTCCGAAGAACAGCTTATCCACTACACTTATATTTGGAGATGAGAGGGAGAGTAACACTTCCTAGGGGATGAAAAGAGAAACCAATGCGCTATTTTCCCACACAGATACTGAGTACTAGAGCCCATGGCTATTCCTAACCTGTGCTTTTTCTTGTCTATTCCAGTCCTCCCAACAATGTGGGAACTTGGTGAACACAGAGGCAAAACTGCAAATTGAGGCCAATTTGAAAAGCTTGACTTGGTCATACTTCTCCCATTAGCCTCAGCTGCTTACCTAGTTCTTGGGAAAGCAGATGAAGTTGCCTCCAGAACATGACACCTGCGCGACATAGGTTCCACAGAAATGGGCATGTCAGGGGATTTCCTCCTCGAGCGCCATTGGCTTAGCAGGAAGTGATGTGGCTTTGCCACAGCAGTCCAAGCAGTGCCGAGGGCTGTGACACCGTCCCGCTCCAGCTCCTGTGCTGGGTGTCACGTGCCTGAGATGGTGCTCAGCTGCTGGAGAGCAGAGCTCTGCACGTGGCTTTGGAATCATCATTCAGAGTTGACATGGTGATGCTGTGGAGGCCGCTTGGCTGCAGAGTTGTGAGTGGCATCAAGGAGCTGCTAGCAACAGTAAACTGCTAAATACTAAAATGAAAATAGGCATGAGATAGCTGAATGGTATCCTATAGCCAATTTAAGGTAGATAGAAACCAGTTGTATACAAACTATAATTGAAACGTGAATGAAGTAGTCTCAGGATGAGGTTAAGAACTCGCATTCTCTAACATATCAGTCACTCAATACAAAGTTAATTAACCCCATAATGTTGGAAACTGTTGTTATGTTATGGCATTTAATTGGTCAGAAAGATAATCTGCCAGCTATGTCTCCAGACCAGAGTTGGTCTCCCCAAGAAACTGTTGAATTCAGCTAGGCA